GCACAGGAGGGCCGAGGGCGGAGGGCGGAGGGCGAGTGCAGCGCGCGCGGGCTGAGCTGTGCACCGAGTTTGGAAATTCCCCAGGTGAGGGGACCAGAGGGCAGGGCGCGCTGGACCTTGCCAGGAACAGAGCAAGTGTCTGTGGGCTCTTCTGCGCGTAGCTGCAGGGCTGGGATTCACGAGGGAGGGCCCCCGGAGCTTGACGGAGGAAGCCTGCGGGCCAAGGGGCCTCCATCAAGCCGCCCCGACCGACCGAGGTGGCGGAGGCTCGGGCCGGGCTTCTGGGGCACCGGCTGTCTGCTGCCAGGTGTGTGAGAAGCTGGCCTGCCTGGAGGGGTGGGGCCGGCAGCGCCTTGGTCCAGGCAGCAGAGACTGAGGACCCAGGGGGCAGAGAGCGGCATCGCTCCGCCAACGCAAACAAGAAGCTTTGCGCTGTTCCATTACGACTTTCCTCATTCTTTCAACAACAACAAAAATCTCTGCAATTCTCCGGGAAGGTGCTTTCTGCTTGAACTTTCTCTTCTCTTGTGAACTGAGATTTGAGAGGAGCCTGCTTGCTAGGCTGGTTTTTCCAAGTTGTTCCAGGTTGGAAGTTGTAAGAGTAGGAAGGATAATTTATGGGTGTTCCGTGCATTGAAGAGCATTACAGCAAAGCCTTTTGGGTGCCGTGGGTATTCAAGAACAACTTAGTGCACGTTCCCAGCTGGAAAGCAAAAACAGTGCTCGCCGGGGTGCCTCTGCCCTGTCTGTCATCCTGGAGAAAAGGCCCTTGATTAATGTCCTGGCTCCATCCCCTGGGTGCACCACTGCCCGTGCCAGCCCCTCCTCCCCCACATGTGCCGCCAGCTGCCTTCTGCAAAGTCAGGATCCTGCTGGAGGGCCCACCGGAACTTATCTCCAAGGGTTTCATGCTCTGTGCCTGAAATTGCCCCTCTGCAGAGCCGCAGGAGAGAGTCTAGGACAGCGGTTCTCAACCTGTGGGTCGAGATCCTTTGGGGGTCGAACGACCCTTTCACAGGGGTCGCCTAAGACCATCGGAAAACACATATATAATTACATATTGTTTTGTGATTAATCACTATGCTTTAGTTATGTTCAATTTGTAACAATGAAAATACATCCTGCATATCAGATATTTACATGACGATTCATAACAGTAGCAAAATTACAGTTATGAAGTAGCAACGAAAATAATTTTATGATTGGGGGTCACCACAACATGAGGAACTGTATTAAAGGGTCGGGGCATTAGGAAGGTTGAGAACCACTGGTCAAGAGAGTCCACTTGAGATCGGGATGGGTCTCTTCTGTGGACTAAGTCACATGGCAGCCTGGGCAACCGCACCGTCACTCCATGACGGGCAGCGTTCCCAGAGGTTTGGGGTGAGGGGGCAGTGAGAATGGTCTGGGGGCTGAGACTGGCCCTGCTGGCATGGGCACACGGAAGAAATGAGCGTTCCCTCACCTGGGTCCTTGGAGAGGGGCGGGGCTAACAGCACAGGATCCCAAACCTCTCCCCCCGGCTTTCCCCACACCTGCATGCAGGTGAAAAAAAGGGCAGCCTCGAAGGGGAACATGTTAGGAGGCGCCAGGTCTCTGGGGCATGGGGACATGTGTTTGAAAGAACTGGAGGAGTAACAGAGGATTTTATAACCACCTCCGGTGCCACGCCTTCCCTGGGCAGCCGCCTTACCCCTGCAGCAGCCCAGCCCCACTACAGAATTGGGAAATGGGTCCACTCAGGGCAGGCATCCCAGCACTGCACCCTCAGCCGTTCTCAGAGTGAGGGTCTCACCTTCTCCCATTGCCCTCCCACATCTCCTACCCAGAGTGCCAGGGGGCGGAGGGGATGAAGCTTCACACTCCGCTCTCTCGCTCTCTCTTGCATGGAGAAATCCATGCCTTGGCCAGGAAGGGGGCCCAGCTGCGACAGCAGCAGGGAGGGCAGGGCAGGGCAGGGCAGGGCTGCAGCCTCAGGGAAGTTTCTCATCACCGCTGAGATGAACCTGATGAGAACCACCGCACTTTACTTTCAAATGCGAGCAGCGCTCCTGCTGCACATTCCAGGAGTGCCCCTTGCCACGCAGCTGCATGGAGCTGCAGAGAAGCTACAAAGGAGACGCGCTCCTGCCCCTCTGGACTGGGCACGGAGCAGTCTCCCCCACAGACATCGGTGCCACACCCGGCATCAGAGGCCCGGCCATTTGTCTTCTCCCAAAAAGACCTTGTAGGGACGCCAGGGCTCAGAGCAGGTAAGTCTTGGAGACCTCTGCTGGCAGCAAACACTTTCTGCTCTCGGGAGGCGGTGGCAGGCTTGCAGGGGATTCACTTAAAATGTCTGGACATCTCTGAGCAAACAACCCATGTTCCCAGAGGGTTTGTCTTTCTGTGACTGGCGCCTCTGATCTTACAAACCTTCGGCGGAACCGTCAGCTCGCAGGCTTGGCTGGTCTGAGAAACCAGCTCCGTGATGGACCCGTTTTACAGAACAGCATATGGTGGTGTCAGGAGGCAAACGCACGGAGATGGAGGACCCTTCCCCAACCCGTTCCCAGGAAACTTGCTTCCCGGCCGTGGAGAAACTGTTAACATCCTCATTCCAAAGAGCAGTAAATCCAAGATGGTCCTGAGGCAGAAGCGGGGCTGGAGACACTGAGGCCCAGGGCCCCCGGCCTTTGGGTGGATGTGCACAAGGACTGTCACTATTTGAGCCAAGGCGGAGAGCCCTTCAGCCACAGAGTTTGGCCAAGACCAGAATGATGACAGCGTACAACAAAGAAGAGTTCCGTGCTCCGTGATGCTTCCCGTATCCTCCTAGGGGCTACGTTACA